CCTCCTCTTCCTCCTCCTCCCCTCCTTCTCCGTTCCGCATTTCCCTCCCCCCCCTGCTCCTCCGCGCCCTCCTTCTCCTTCTCTACCTCCCCCCTCCCTCCCTACATCGCTTTATGTTCGCCATCCACCCTTTCTACTTACAACCGCTCCCCCCTTCCCCTGTGCGCGCCGAGCGGGATGGGCCAGCGCGTCAGCAGGCCCTGTGGCATGCCGCGGCGGTTGCGCGAGGCCGCTCACCGGGAGGGAAGCTGGCAGCAGTGCACCGGGGCCCACCTGACGGGGGCAAGCGCTCACGGGGGTCAGCCAATCCCCCATGGCTGGCCCGGGCCTGGGAGGCACGTGGGGCCAATTCCCCACTTCCCGCCCTCCGCGGACCTGGGCTTCGGAGCTACGGAGCGGCTGGGCAGGCTTTTACGACGGGGCCCTGGCCGACCCGGGTTCGTGCTGACACAGAAGTCTCTGCGAGGGCCTCGACCCGAACACCCCGTTCATAGGTTGCACGAGTGCTGGTGCACCACGCGAGGACGTCAAACGATCCGCCGTGGCAGTAAGCACGCCCAGCCAGGCCATGATGGGCCTGTTTTCCACCACCACCACCATGAGTTGGAGGGGGGAGGGTGTCCTCCTCCCCTTCTTCTTCTTCCTCCGAGCTCAGAACGTGTGGCGAGCACGTTGATGCACTCCTGCCCTGCTCCGCAGCACAAGAGGTCACCGCCCACCAAACTACCCCAGCCCAGCCCGAAGGCCCCGATTTGCCCTCAATTTCCAGTTGGGGGGGCGTCGGGGAACATGGAGAAAACACGCATGAAGCCCGTACCCCCCCCAACCCGAAATTCGGATCGTCGGGTTGGATTGGGGTGGCGTGGTAGGTAGTCAAGGGGGGGCTGGTGACGGTGCCCTAACTCCCCGTCGCCCTCCTCCGAGCGCGCTAGGGGCGCCTTTGGCCGACCCGACCCCCCTGAATTATCGCAGCTTCTCCTCCCCCTCATCCCCCTGTGTGTGCTTCTCCTCGTCGCACTTCTTCGTATCCACATCCTCCTCGGCTTCCTTCTTCTCATCCTCTTCCCCACGGCACTCCTCTGCCTCATTACCCGCCCGGTCCTGCGCTGCTCCCCACCACTCTCCACGCTCCCCCTGTTCATCTACCCCCGACTCCTACACCCTCTCCCTGCCCCGACCCATCTCCTCTTCCTTCTCACTCTCCCCCTCGCCCAACCCCCACCTTCCAGTCCTCCCTCGCCCTACTCCTCCGCCTGTGCGACCGCTCGGAGCTCCGCGGCAAGACAGAGGAACTGCCCGGCTGGGTGGGGGGTCGCCTTTTGGGATAGAGGCCGCAGGCCGCCATGGCGAAGAAGAAGAAGGAGGACGAGGAGGTCCAGGACTTCGCCACCATGTTCTCGTGGCTGCTCGGCATGTCCCTGCTGGGCGGCGCCGGCGCCACCGTGCTGGGTCTGTCGCTGGTGCCCGCGTTGGGCCGGCACGGCCGCCTGCCCCCGGCGCTGCAGGCGTTGGCCAGGAACCCGCGCTCCCTCTGGCTCGCGGCGGGGGCTGCGCTGGCTCCCGCGCTCGGCTCCGTGGCGGGGCTGCTGCTGACCTACCTGGGAGTGCCCCTGCTGCAGCCGAGGGGCTGGGTCCCGCCCGAGAAGCGGTCGCGGTCGTGCGCCAAGGTGCGCTTCTCCGCCAAGGCCGCCGAAGAGAAGGGCCCGTGGGACGTGATCATCTCGGGGGGGACAACGTCGCACAAACAGGACTGTCGGAGGTCCGCGCGGATCTCTTGGATCGGCGCTGGAGCCCTCTGGCGGCGCCTCTGGCGCCCTCCCTGGCGCGCTCCGCGCGCCAGGGAGGGCGGTCTAGCACAGATCCAAGAAATCCGCGTGGACCTCAGATGATCTACTGTTGTGCCATGTTTCGCTCCTCGATCATCGTGGGCTCGGGCATGGGCGGCCTGACGTGTGGCTCGGTGCTGTCGCAGCTTGGCTACAGGGTCATGGTCCTGGAGGCTCACGAGGTGGCGGGCGGCTCCACCCACGACTATAATGTCGATGGCAAGACCGACTACAAGTTTCCCTCCGGGCTGCACTACACCATCCCCGCCAGCGAGGAGATGCTGCAGGTGTCCTGCGGCGCCGCACGCCCTCCGGTGCGCTTTGCGCGCATGGGCGACGACACGGTGCTGCACGACGGCGCCTACGACCGTGTTCGCCTGACGAGGACGCAGGACCTCAGTGGGCCCCGAAAACGGCAGGGCCGTTTTTTCACCGTTTTCGAAAAAGTGTCTCTTGTTGAAAGTGGAGACGGTAAACAAAAGACAGGAGACGTCAAACAAACGGCTTCAGGATTGGAACCGGAACCAGAACCGGAAACAAACACGGCGACGGATTTGGCAAAGTAGCGGCGACGGAACCGACAAAAGAAAGGCAAAACGGAACCAGAAAAACAAGGCCCTGTCGCTTCCAGGGCCCACTGAGCGCAGGACGCGGAGCTCAGGGTGATCTCCGACGTGGCGCTCAAGAAGGACCTGCGCGCGCGGTTCCCGACCCTCGTCCCTCAGCTCGAGCGCTTTGAGCGCGTCTGCACCGAGCTGCTGCAGGCATTCCCCATCTGGGCGGCGCTGCACGCCTTCCCCTGGTCGGTGAAGAGGACCCCGGACACAACAAAGAACCGCGACCAGGTTTGAGTGGATTTTCCTGGAGGGGGAAACTCATCCGACCTCTTGACAGGAACAAGTTGGCTGTGGTCATGGTCAATTTGGTCGTCCTGGACGCAGATGTCGACCATAACCAGAACTAAGCTGGTTTCGGTGCTCTGATGGTTACTGGCATGCTCAAGCTTGGCTGCCCTGATACGCCAGTGTTGAAACGCAACACGTACCGTGTTCAAGACGTTCGTGTAAACACGTTGCGTGTTGGCTCGGCACGTGTTGGTCCACGTTTTCGCGAACGTGGCGCGCCAGACCCACGTGTTCAGCCTACACGTCGAGCTCCGTGTCAGCCCGCTACGTGTTGTTGCGCGTTACGTACCGGAGCAGCGAAGTGTGCAAGACATCCCCAAGTGTGTGTGTGTGTGTGTGTGTTCTCGATGTGGCTGTGGTCGCTTGCCGTCCCCGCAAGGACGCTGCTGTCGGTCCTGCTGCCCTCGGCGTGGTGGCGCTACGCGGGGCGCACCGCCGAGGACGTCTTTGGCGAGCTCTTCGCGGACGCCCCGGAGTCGGAGAGGGAGAACGTGATCAAGATGCAGGCTCGAGTGGAGGTTTCTCCGACGGGCTTAGGCGACTTGTCCTCCTCCTTCTCCCCCTCCTCTTCCTCCTCCTCCTCCTCCTCCTCCTCCTTCTCCTCCTCCTCCTCTTCCCTCCTCCTCCTCCTCCTGCTCTCTTCTCCTCCTCCTCCTCCTCCTCCTCCTTCTCCTCCTCCTCCTCCTTCTCCTCCTCCTCCTCCTCCTCTCCTCCTCTTCCTCCTCCTCCTCCTCCTCCTCCTCCTCCTCCTCCTCCTCCTCCTCCTCCCCCTCCGAGTGTTCAGACCGCCCCGGCCTATTCGGGGGGCCTGTTAAGGCCAGCTGGGACTACCCTGGGGGGGCTGTTTGTGCGCACCCCGAAGCCTTGTCAGGCCATTCGAAGAACAACGGTTTTCCAACCGTCAAGGCATAACCGCAACCGCCGATGACCCCCTGGCCCAGTGCGCCAGATGGGCTGTCAAGGAAACGCCCAACATTGACCCACAATCAGAGCGCGTGTGTAGAGTTTTGTTCCAGCGCCGTCATTCCTACACGTTGTAGACTCAGGCTCTGAAAAGTAGACGCGGCGGTCCAAAATGTCGGTGCTCGCCTCCTTCGCCGTGCTAGACGCCCAGTGTGACCGACAACATATAACAGCAACCGCCTCTGAGGCTGACTGGCCTACCACGCAATCATCCTCCCTTGCTCCTCGCCGCGGCCGTGCCAGCTCAAACTCTCGTCTGAGAACCTGACGTTTTCTCAAGGTTGCGCATGCTCCCAGGCGGTTGCGGGTGCATCTTGACAGTGCTGGCATAAGCTTACATTCTCGAAGGTCTGCACGGATGTTTTGACCCTGCGCTGGACCCCCCACCTGGCTCGCGGAGCGCGCCATGGGCGGCGCCGGAGGCGCGGCCGGGGGGGTCCAGCGCTGGTCGAAGAAGTCCGCGCGGACCTCCGCAGGCTGATGTTTCATGCAACGGTTTGTCCAGGCTCGAGATCTTCCTGCCTCTGTGCGTCCTGGGGATTCTCCAGGGGCAAGCCGAGTGGACTCGGTGGGGCGAAGGGGCAGGGCAAGCTCGTATCGGTCTGAGGGGGCCGAGTGGTCTGTGTCCTCGGGTGCGTGGCGTCCGTGGTGCGGGCTCTTGCTGTGCCTTCATTCCCGAGAATGGTTCTCCCCCTCCTCTGGTGCTTATCGTTCTTCTTGATCGCGGAGTGTCCCTCGACGCATGTTCGAGGGCCTCTAGCTGCTCATCTCGGCCTGTGGCTGCTGGAACAAGGGCTCCCGAGCGGGAGGTAGTCACAGCTCCAACATTCCGCTGGCCGCGCCGACGACCCGTCTGGGACCCGTTCCCGCTGCGACGCACCCTGCAATCCGTCTGCGGCCCGCGCTGCCTCAGCCTTGTCCGCCACTGCAGGGGTCTTTGTGTTCATCCGCGTTTTCCGCTGCCCTGATACGCATGGGTTGAAGCGCCACGCGTACCGTGTTCAGCACGTCTCACGCACATGTTGGCCCATGCTTTGGCGAACGTATCGCGCCAGACCTACGTCTTCAATCTACGTGTTGAGCTCCATGTCAACACGCTACGGGTTGCGTGCTACGTAACTTATCTGGGCCGGCTCGTTTCGATTCCTCCGTAGCCCCGTCGGTGTCGTCTGAGCGCCCCTGGGCTTGCACCCTCGGCCAGCGCAGCGAGGCGGGAGGATCTTGTCGGACGGGGCCAGGGCGGGGACAAATCCGTTCCGGAGCGTTCCAGAACGCTCTGAGAAGGCCGTGGGGCCCGAGGATGTTCAAAAACCGCCGGGTCTCAGAGGTTTCCGATTTGTCTTCGTCCAAATGTATCTTCGTCCTGACTTCGTCTTATCCTGTATGCAGGCGTACTTGTGCGGCCTGTTCTTGGATTCCGGCTGCGCCCCAGACACCGTGAGTTTCTTCATGATCGCGGCGGTGGGCCTCGGTTTCCCGCACGAGGGCGGCGCTTACCCAGAGCACGGCACCGGCGAGATGGCCGCAGCGCTGGTGCAGGCCATGAGGACGTGCCGGCGGGCTGTGTGTCCGGGCGTGGATGCGTGCGAGTGTGTGTGTGTGTGTGGGTGTTTGTTTCTCTTCTCCCCCCCGTGCATCGCGGCTTAATTCGGAATTGAATTCACATTTTATGTCCTACAAGTGCTCTTCCGCCAGCGCAGTCACTGCCCAGCCGCCGGCGATAAAACATGTGTGTGTGTTCAGAGGAGGAAAAGGTATCCATACCGCTACCCTCTGCCCGTTTCCCTTTTTGGGGCCCGTTGGGAGGCCCTCGCCGCCACCGCTGGATTCGCTTCGAGATTCTGGTCAGAACGCACCCCGAGAGGCCCATGGAGCAGCAGTGATCTGTACCTCTTGGCATCCCCATGAGTTGCGCGTGCACGCGTGAGTGCGAGTGTATATTTTCCCTCAGCTCTCGCCTCCCATGCCTCCAGGCCTCCTAGTAGATGGGGTCAGAGCAGATCGGGTCGGAGGATCGCGCCGCATCGCCGATGCATCGACGATGCGGCTCGATGTGGAGCCCATGTTTCGCCACGCGACGTCGCCGATGCATCGCCGACGTCGCCGACGCATCGCTGATGCATCGCCGATACATCGGCGATGCATTGGCGATGCGGCGCGATCCTTCGACCCCATCTAGTCGGACCACATCCAGGAGGCCTCTCATGCCTCGTGCTCCTCTCGCGTTTTTGACGCACACGTGGCGCCTTGCGTGCGGTGTGTCTTCTCCCCCTCCGCGCGCTTCAGCAGGCGATCGAGGACAACGGCGGCAGCGTCTTCGTGCGCGCCCCCGTGGCCCGCGTCCTGGTGGACGAGAGAAGCGGCAGGGCAGTCGGTGTGGAGACGACGAAGGATCGGCGGCGAGCAAGGGGGGGAAGCGAGAAGGAGAAGGCCTTCTCGGAAGGCTCGGAAGTCTCCCCTGCCTTCTTTGAGGTTTATGAGCCGTCCCCGACGACGATGAAAAAATGTTCGGAAGGCGCGAGGGGAGGGCTTCTGATGAGTCCCGCCGCCTTCTGAGAAGGCCTTCTCCTTCTCATTTCCCCCCCTTCGCTCGCCGCCGAAAGGATGCAGGTGCTGCCACGCTGATGGCGAAATGCTGCGTCGTCTCCGCATGTGGGTGGCGGAATACCGCGCGCCTTTGCAAAGGGACGGCGTTCCCAAGCCCGGACGAGCTCAAGCTAGGCCAGGGCGACGGATTCATCATGGCCAACATCGGAATCAAGGGCTGCGCTGCCGATCTGAAGTTGGAGTGCACGAACATGGAGCTGCTGCCAGCAGGGCAGGGCTTATCGATCTTCGAGGGCGTGCGAAGGTACATGAACGACCCGCTCGGTGTTCCCGCAAAGGAGATTCCAATGATGATCACCTTCCCCAGCGTGAAGGATCGCACCCACAAGTCGAGGCCCCAGAAGGAGGAGGGCAGGGAGACCGCGCAGCTCCTCTGCCTGGCCAGGAAGGAGTGGTTCGGCCCGCTGGAGGAGCCCGAGGTGGGCACCGTGGCCACGCCTGCCTGGCGGGAGCCCGCCCGCACCCCGGAGTACAGGGAGCTGAAGAGGAGGTGGATCGAGCGCCTGCGGTCGGCGCTGCTGTCCATCTACCCACAGCTCGAGGGCCGGATCTCAGAGGAGGAAAAGGTACCCATATCTCTACCCTCCCGCTCGTTTTCCCCTTTCTGGGCCTCCTGGGCCTCTGTCGTCGCCACCGCTGGATTTTTTCCTCGAAGCCCTGGTCAGAACGCACTCCAGGAGAGGTCCGGGGAGTAGCGGTATCGGTATCTTTTGGTGTTCCCAGGATCGAGCTCTTCGACTTGTCCACCCCGCAGACCATCGAGCACTACTTGCCCACTGGCAGCGGGTCCGCCATCGGCCTGGACACCGCCGGAGGACCGGGCTGCCGCTTCACGGACTACAGCGTCATGCGGCTGCTGGACATGCGGACGCCGGTGCCGGGGCTGTGGATCACGGGCCAGGACTGGGACGACCCCCTCCCCCCGCTGGGGTGCGCAGGCGCGGGCGCCCACGCCCGCAGGCGACGAGAAGGGACGGGGGACAGGCCGGACAGAAGGGGCTTTCCAGGGATCGAGAGGCTGGTTGCCATGTGTCGAGGAAAGCTGGCGAGGGAAAAAAGAGGGTCCGAGGCCAGCAGATGGCCAGCGGGAGTAAACATTGGGCTCCCAGTCATATTTTTCTGCTTTGATTTATGGTTCGGAACGGGCCAGATGGCTGGAGGGTAGGCCAGGATGGAGCCATATACCAGGCACGCTGCAAACATGAAGACGTCACGTACAAAAAGTAACGACCGGGGTTCTTGACTTTGATTTTTACACGTTCTTGTCGAGCCGAATCGACCCGTCAGGGCCTTGGGTTCCCAAGCTATGCAGCAGAGGTGCCCGTCATGATGCCTTGGCGACAACCGCTTTGTGCGCCGGAAACCCCGCCCCCCTTCCTTGGCGCACAGACGATTCCCCCAGAGGGGTGGTGAGGGGATCCAGCGCCGACCTCAGAAATCCGCGCGGGCCTCTGAATTGATGTGTACTACGCAGCTTGATATCAACAAGGTCTAGAGGAGGACCTTCATATGTTCTTAAACTGCAACTTCCTGTTCCACTGGGCACATAGTGTTGCGTCCCTGCCGAAATTAGAGCTGTGGCAGAAGGGGTTTCGATTGTAAGAAGATGCTCGACCGATCCCCCCGAATGAAAACCTATACTGGTGTGATTTGTTCTGCGGGTGCAATGCCCATCTTGCCGTCGCCAAATGCAATAATGACAAGCTGGGAAGGGGGGTTCCCAGGCATTTTGGCGCGGAGCCCTTGCCAATACTAGTTAATGGCAAACAAGAGAGTGACTGCAGGCGGCACCGTAGATGATGTAAGAAAACTCATATAACGTTTTTCTCCGATCTCAAGATCGACGTTCTTATTCCACCGTTTTTGGGTGCGTGTTATTCCGTATGGAATTCTCGTTCGCGCCGTTGTATGTTAGGTTCCGTGTGGTATTGGTGTTTTTGTTTCTGCGTTGGGCTCCAGTGTGTTTCTCCGTCTTGGTTGGCCTGAAACCGAAGGGTCGGAATCGAACAGAAAGCGCCCCCGGCGTTCCTTGGCATCAGCGAAGGGCGGGGCGAGGGGGGCTTTTGCCAAATACCAGTCGGAGGCGGCCAAGAAAGGGGTGATGACAAGGGGGGGGGGACACCATGGCCAGGGCCATGATATCTCCCCGGATCTCGTGGCCCTTCTTTTCTTCCGATGCGTCCCCTGGTCTCCCCCTCGCCCGCTCGCGTGCCCGGGCCCGTGGCTTGCGCGCCCTCCTCTGGGACGCCCCACTCTCGGCCGCCCCCGGACCAGCCTGCTGCAAGCAGGAGCGCGACCGCAGGCGGGGCAGGGGCGGGGGGAGCCTCCCGCAGGACACGCTCATGTGCGGCGTGCCCATCGCCCAGGCGTCCGGGCTGCTGACGGCCATCCGCATCGTCGGGCCCCTGCGGGCGTCGTGGCTCCACAGGGGGTTGCGAAACACCACAGCGATGGTGAGGTCGGGCGTGCCGTCGTCGCCGTTCTCGCTGCCCCCCTTCGCGCGTACCAGCCTGAGCCATACTAGGGGACCACATGCGAACCCTACCCCTACCCCCCACGATTTCTGAGGGGGAGGGTGGGGTTCACTGCCCCCTCAGAAATCGTGGGGGGTAGGGGTAGGGTTCGCATGTGGCCCCCTACATATCCCTACCCCTATGGTCGGTATCACCTTGCCTCGGTGCCGATCTTAAGGATTCCACTTGTTTCCGAGGGTTCGTCCCTAAGCTCGTCACCGCCTTTGGGCTTGGGCTTGTCAATCTTAGGGGCAAAGACGCGGTCGAGGTGAGCCGCCGTTGTTGCCGTTCTCGTCCACCCCTCGTGGGCGAAGAACACATCTGGATCCGCGGCCTCGTGGGCCGGGCCCCTGGCCTGGGCCGCGACCCACGCGGATGCGAGTCGCTTTTTCGCGGATGCCCCGCGAGGAACGTGTCCGTGCGACCGCGTATCCGCGGGATCGTGCCCCAGAATCCAGATCGCGAGGGCGCGGGTACGGATGTTTTGCGCCGCTCGTGACCCCCGCCCTTCGCCTGCCCGTCTCTCCTTGTTCTCGCCATCCCTCCTCCCCTCGTCTCCTCCCCCTCTTGTTCCCCTTCGCTACGGTTTCGCAACGCAGCACGTACCGTGCTCAAAACGTACGTGTTAACACGTTGCGCGTTGGTTCAACGTATCGGCCCACGTTTAGGCGAACATGTCGCGCCAAACGTACGTTTCGAATCTACGTGTTGAGCTCTGTGTCAACACGCGACGGGTTGCGTGTTGCGTATCGGCGCGGTTAAGTGTCCTCCTCTTCCTCCGCCCATCCTCGTTTCTTTCTTCCTCCTCCTCCTCAACCCCTCTCCTCCCCCGCTTCATCCTCGCCGAAGCAAAATAGAGAAAGCAGGATGAGACGGAGGCCGGTATGGACGGCGACGTCACTAGAGTTTTTGACAAGCAAATCCCCTCATCCCTGGAGTGTGGGGGGTGCTGCCGCAGGGACACGTAGCCGCCCAGCCAGGAAACCGCATTCGGTTTGGGCCCACATCGCGCGAGCGCAGAGGATGTACGGACCGGTCACCTCTTGTCGCAGTATGCGTCTTAATGAGGGTCATTTTGTCCCTGGCACGTACACTTTGCCACTGCGGCCAATTAGCTTCGTTCGCGCCCCCTTCGTTGTTGACCCGCTCCCTGACCTTAGTCCTGGAGCCGCCGACCAAAAAAAGTGGGCGCGAGGGGTCGTCGTGCCTTTGGCCGGGGCCGGGCCACGCCAAGAGGAGCGGTGTGGGCCCGGCGTGCGCGGGTTGCTCCCGCGGTTGCCCCGGGGTGGTCCAGTGGTTCTCCCGTGGTTGTCCTGTGGTTGTCCCGCCGTTGTCCCCGAGGGTTGTCCCGCGGTTGTCCCGTGGTCGTCCCGTGGTCGTCCTGCGGTCATCCCAAGGTTGCCCTGTGGTTGTCCCCTGGTTGTCCCGCGATTGTACAGCAATTGTCCGCGGTTGTCGTAATACATGTACAAATGTATATCGAACTACGTATCCGTGTGCATAGACACGTTTATATAGTGTCATGAATACACGCGTGAGAATATACATGTGTTAGCCAGCGTGGACCACAGACAGTGTGTTTCAGATAAGACATGCGATGCTATCTATGTGGGAAATATGCATTTCGCCAATGGTCGCAGTGAGTTGTCAACTCCACTGCTCGCGCAATTACCCCACCCACCCACACGCAACTTGGTTTGCAAAACCCATGCGACGGCGATTGCGATGAGTGCTTGGAGTTGGCTGGTGCATCTTTGCGGCCGCGCTAGCCCCTGCATGCTCGCGCGTGCAGTGGCCAGATAGTTTGCTGCGACCGACGCGGCCGCGATGGCGCTGACTGTTGGGAATATCCCAGCGGGCACTTCAGCGCGACTCCGTGATTTTGGCGGGCGCGGTATCATGAAGACGCCGACAACAGTAGACACGATGATGAGAATAGCGATGATGGTGACGATGGTGGCGATGACGACGGCAAGGCCAAAGACGGCGCCGATGTTGCTCACGCCCGCCTGCAAGAATGACGATGTCTTCGCGTCGGGTATGGAGGATGTGGAAGGAGTTCGACATGCGCGCGCGGCCGACGCGCGCGAGTGGCCCGCTTGGCATTCTTTGACGCGGATCGTGCCCCCCCCCCCCCCCCCCCCCCCCCAGCACGCGCGCCAGTGTGTTCGAATGAGTTCGACATGCGGCACGAGAGGCCCGCTTGGCACAGTTTGATGTCGGGAAATTCGTCTTGGAACTACTCACGAAACCGAAGTTTTTGACACATTTCGGCATGCGCGCGCGGCGGCGCGCGCGTGCGTTTCGTTCCCTTGTGCACAGGATTCTTGCGACAGCACGCGCGCAAGGGCGTTCGAACGATTTCGGCACGCGCGCGTCAGATGCCCGGTTGGTAGCACTTTATGAACATTTGGGAAACAAATGTTTCTTTAAACGAATAATTGAAACCAAAACAAAAAAAACATGTGCACATAGTGCGAGCGACAGTTTTTTTTTTTGCGAATGTTATGTGCGAAACCTTTTTTAAAACATGGTTTCTCGACGCTCGTTTCGCAGTCCTTACGCAACCTACGGTTTTAAAGGATTCCAGCATGCGCGCGCGACGACGCGCGCGTGCGCACTTCGTTTTTTAATTTGCCGGAGACTTCTGAATTATATGATTGTTGAAAAACGATTGCACGCGCACCGTCTTTTGTCCAGAGGATGAAAGGGGGAGACCGGCGGGTCTGGAATGGTTTTTATTCATATATCGGATGGGCGATGGGGCAAGGTCGTATGTAAATTGCACGTCCCCAGGGGGACAGATAAGTCCTGTGTCGGGGAGGGTCGACCCGAATCTGATTTTAGAGGTGGTGCTAATATATATATATATATATATATATATACACACACATATATAAACATACATACATATATGTTCCTCTTCTTATGTGTTTATAAGCCCGGTCGGGCGGACCCCCCCCCCCAAAAAAAAAACGGACTCCCGGGATCTGGGGTTTCGGGCCTCGAAGCGGCCCCCCGGGCCTCGCAGGGCAGTTTGCCAAACCTTCCCAGCACACCTAGGGCGATCAGGGGGGTCATCGGCGGAGACATCCCAAAGACCCGCAGGACAGCACAAGGGCGCTCCAAGAGTGACCGACGTGACCTCAAGATGGCCCAAGAGGCCTCCAGGACGGCCCCAAAGCGGCTTCCAAGAGCACTCCCAAGAAGGCCCCAAGAGGCGAAAATCATTGATTTTCTGCTGGTTTTTGTGAATTTGGGGGTCCCCCTCTTTTCGGCTTCCCGACGCTCCAAGACGGCGGTTTTCTGGGCGTCCGAAGCCGCCTAGGAGGCTCCCAAATCGCCCCACAACCATTCGAAAGGGCTTCCAGGCAGTCCAAGAGAGCCCCAAAACGGCACAACACTGGTCCAAGATGGTCTTCTGAGAGCCCCATGGCGGCCTAAGATGGCCCCACGACACCCTCCGAAGCATTCCACATGGTGACCCGGTCGTTCTGGGAGACCGCGGTTGGAGGCAGGATGGCCCGAGGAAGCCCCCAGAGGTCCCCAGAATACGCCCAGGAGGTCTCCAGAAGGCCTTGAGAAAGCTTGAAACAACTTTTGCGAGGCCCCCAGAGGCTTTCCAAGGAGGAGCCTCCGCAAAAAGGAGCTGAGGAGGATGGGGAGAATGCGCAGGGTATGGCGAAAATGATGAAAAATAAGCATGGAGGAAGGACAACGAATAACATTATTATAGTGGCGATGCCAGAAAAAGGGAACACGGAGTTATCGCTAAATTGTCGGTTTGACCTTCCTGCTAATCCGCCTGCGTACCAAACTTCAGGGACCAAGGTGCATAGCGCGAAGCGCCACTGCAGCCTTGTATATATATATATATATATATAGAATGAGCGACCTGCGTGGTGCAATTAGTTCCTGTTCGCAATGCGTTGGCGCGTCACCCCAGTGCCCGCGCAGACATCCGCCCACCCACCCGCAACTTGGTTTGCAAAACCCATGCGGCGGCGATTGCGATGGGTGCTTGGCGTTGGTTGGCGGATTCTTGCGGCCGCGCTAGCCCGCCGCAAGCTCGCGCGCACAGCGGCCAGATAGTTTGGTTCGACCAACGCGGCCGCGGTGGCGCTGATCGTTGGCCATTATCCAGCGGGCCGTCCAGCGCGATTCGGCGACTTGGGCGGGCGCGGTATCATGGCAACGTCGACACTGGTAGACGCGATGATGATTGTAATGGTGATGGTGATGAGGACAACGACGATGGCAGGGCCAGTGACGGCGCCGATGTTGATCATGCCAGCGACGATGACGGCGCCCTCGCGGCGGCGATGCAGTTTTCGGGGGGAGTTCGACATGCGCGCGCGGCCGACGCGCGCGAGTTGCCCGCATTGGATTATCTGATACGTTTCGTGCCCCCAGCCCCGCACGCGCCAGGGTGTTCGAGTGAGTTCGGCATGCGGCGCGAACGGCCTGTTTGGCAGAGTTTGACGGTATATTTCTTGCAAAACACGATGGTCGTTTTAAGAGTTCGCCAAAGCGCGAACGCAGATTTTTTTGAAAACTGATTTTGGACAGCCATGTGCTTTATTATGTTGTCGGACCATTCGATTCTGAAACCCACACGGGGCCGAACGTTTTTTTTAGATTCCCGCATGCTCGCGCGACGACGCGTGCGTGTGCACTTCGTCCTGTTTTTTGTCGCTGCGGACTTTTAAACCTTGGGAATTGTGGTGAAAGAGTGCGCGCGCATGTTTTTTCTTCTTCTTGCGAGGGATGAAGTGGGGGCTTGGGGCGAAACCCGGCTGGCCTGGGATGGTACGAATTCAAATTTGCCATGGATGATGGGGCATCATCGGGGTAAGCTCCCATTCGAAAAAGGTGTACCGTTATTCCCGCGGGGGGGCACATCTTAATCTGTTCGGGGAAAAATCTTTGAGGTGCAGTCCATGTCGTGCAACAGACGTAGTGACACATATGTGGTGCAACCGCTGTTGCGCCGCATTTGCAGCGCAATCTGCGTGGTGCAATTTATGTTGTGGAATATATGCGGTGCTAATTTTGCTGTGCAATTTATGTCGGGGCGGCGACGGCAGCCACATAGCTGTCAGATCGAAGGACTGCCTAGACGGATGGCGGCGACGGGGCGGCAACGCCGGCCACATAGTTGGCATACCTAAGACACGGTCCAGACGACGGGCGGCGATGAGGCGACGATGGGGCGGCGACGGTGGCCGCGAAGCCGCCAGACCGAAGACACGGCCCAGTTCCTTAGAACAGAAGTGGGATTCCTTAAATGTAAGCACCATTTGAATAATATGTTTATATATATGTATGTATGTACGTACGTACGTACGTACGTATGTATGTATGTATGTATGTATGTATGTATGTATGCGCACACCTATACTGCGACCAGTAACCAAGCGGTAGACATGTGTGGAGACACGTGCTTGCATACACTTATATATATATATATATATACACGTATGTACACGTGTATATATATATGTATATATACAAAGATGTATATGTACACACAGTTATTGTGATGACGGTAACTACACACACATATATTCATGACGTATGAACATATATCGTGAGAGATGTGGGTCGTGGGAATGTTGTTGTTGTTTTCTAGTGTGGTCGATTGGCCGGTGGTAGACGGGTAGATCGGGTGATCGATCATTTCAGTTCTTTACGCATCCGTGTATGACAATATCATACAATTATGTTCAAGTGCCGAGATATTTAGACATATAGGTCACGAGCCTGACAGGACGTCTGCTGCAAACCGAAAGCTGTACCCATGCCCCCTCTCCCCACAACCTCCTTCCCTTCTCCTTGTCACTTCTGTATTCCCTCCACAACATCCCCTGGCGGGTGGACTTCTGGGTATATTCCTCGATCCCTTCCTGTTCCTCGTCCTCCTTTTCCTCCATCTAATCCTTCAGTTTCACCCCCTTCTCGTCCATCTTGACCTCCATGTGGTTATCCTCTCTGTTTTGTCGTTCTCTCTCTCTCTCTCTCTTTCTCTCATCGTTGTCGTCCTCCTGCTCCTCATCGTCCCCATCCTCCTCAGTTCCTCTTTCTTCTCCTCCTCCCCTGATCTCTTCCACCCCCTGCTCCTCCTCGTTGTCCCCCTCCCTCCCTTTCCCTCCTTTCTCTCCGCCGGGAGGGTCGCGGGTTGCTGAAGGTGCTCCTGGCCCAAGGCGCCCCCCAGCTTGTCTCTCCAATCCGGAGCCCCCTCGGGCGCCCTGGGCCTCGTGAGTCGTGAGGGGTGCTCCGGAGGCCGCGTGTGGCCTCCCTGGAAATCCTGGGAGCACGTCGGGCCCCTCGGGCCAGGAGCACGTCCCTGGCACCACCCGAACAGGGGGGGAGGGCTCGTCCCTGCTTTTGTTCGGCGATCCTTCGAGGTTCATGGCGAGGTCGGCGTGGCTGCTGGCCGCAAGCCTGGGGCACAAGGCCCGCAGTGCCAAGGCCGCTTTTTTTTCTTCCGCGGGGGCATCCTCGAAGCTGGCCTTGGGGTGGAGGAGGAGGAGGAGGAGGAGGAGGAGGAGGAGGAGGAGGAGGAGGAGGAGGAGGAGGA